GCAGGGCCGCGCCGCAGGGCCGCGCCGCAGGGCCGCGCCGCAGGGCCCCCCCCCCTACGTCGATGGCCTTGTCGCCCATGCCCGGCGTGCGTGCGATGCGGATGCTCGTGCCATCGCTCAGGTTCAGAAGCTCCTCGCAGGGGGGCGGCGCGGCGAAGCTCGCTTTGCGCCATGAGGCGACTTCCAAAGCCTGTCGTCCCTTCGGTGTGAGAATCCATTGTACAGCCAGGCTTCCAAAAGTACTCTATCATTTAGTATGTAGTACGAATGATGAAGCTCATGGTTGAGTTTGGGTGGTATATGCGACCGTTGAAGAGTAACACATGTGACTCACATGTTGCTTCTTCACTCGCCCTTCAGACGGAAAATCTCCTTACATGCAGACCCAACCCCCTACATCTTAACTCTTTTTGGAGGCCCAGTTCAACAAATAAACAGATCCAAACCCATCTATATAGCTCCATCCCAGCTCTTGACTCTTGGTCGGTTGGACGGGCTCAACCTTTTTGGGCACTCACCCTGACCAACCACCCCATCACCCAATCACACCGGAAATTCCCGCCCGCCACACAAAGGCCGCAGCTAGATCTCGGTCTGAGCGATTCTGTTGCGAAAGACCCTCATTTGGCTGAGGGAGTGAAAGACCACTTGAGTGATCTGATCGTGAAAGGGCCTGGCGGCCTGACCGTTAAGAAACCCGCAGAATGGCCCTACTCCATTTTCCTTTTCGCGACATCCGTCCTTCTCAAGTCTCAAGTGTGCCATGGTGGACGATCGAATCCCAGAGACGACGATCAGCGACAGCTTGAGCCGAGACCCAAGTTTGGCAGGACGGAGATGGGGTGAAGGTGCAGGTAGATTGGGAGGTAACATAGTAATAACCGTAAACCCACCAGGAGCAAGGACGCTTCTAGGGGCTGGCATCGCTACTAGGAACAATGTTCGCTACTAGGGGCTGGCCGTACTACTAGGAGCAAGGACGCCACGAACGGAGCAAGGGAAAACCCACGTCCTTCGTTTCACACTTCTGATCCCAAACATCGGTCAGAACACCACGTGGGCAGCTGGATGGACTCAACACGGATGGCCATTGAGCCGAGTCAACGTCGGAAAGAATTCACCCATGAAGCCGTTCGTTCAGGTTGGGGGTGACGGTGACAGCACAACTTCAGCTGTTCAGCTGTTCAGCTTCTCGCTGCCTGATGCTCTGCTTCTTGGTTCAACTGAAAAGGTCCAAAAGAGCCATCTTCGCGAGTGCAGTAAATTCCTCCAACAATCAGGGATGGATGATGCACCCTGATCGATCCATGGAATGTCTTTCCATGTCTTTCCGCCTTGCTTCTGGTGCCATCGAAAGCACGTTGGGGTCTACTGTGCCTGGCGTGTCAAATGACCCAAGAGCCCTGCCAACGCTTGGATTATGTATAAATCATCTGCATGTTGTGTGTTGAAGCACCGAGGGCCACTCATTGGAAAATGAAATGCTGGGATCAAATCTCGACGTGTGAGGACGCACAACTTCTTCTGGAACATCACTCATCACAAACGTTGGTGGATTGCATATCATGTTTTCCAAGTGCCGGAAGCATCATCGCTTCCACCTGTACATTGAGGCTTGCTGAGCCAGTAAAAACCCTTGTCATGGGTGAGGAACCTGCAAAAGCAAGTCATCTGAGAAATCTGGAATGCCAACGCAAAAGTTTAGAGTCACATCAAACCACACCCATAGACATTGGCACTGGCTTCGCCTGCCCAGGGAATCTACATGTGGTCGTGAGTGGCAAAAAGTCGCCGTTCGCCCCGTTCAAAACGATGTGAACACGGTGGAGGCACCAGCTGGAAGTCGTGGCACTGTGAACCTCAAGGTGAGACTGTTTTCGCTCGAAGTGGACTTCTGATCCTGGAAGACGGCTTTACAGAACCGGCTTCACGTCCAATGATTGTAAGAGTATGTTCACCGGAATTTCTCTGGTCACGCAAACGTGAGTCGCCAGTCGCGTCTGAACGAAGTGGAAAGAAACATCTCGAAACCAACGCGTCTTCCCCTGGGATCCGAGCGTCTTCAAGTCGGTCGGGTCGGACCAGGTGCAGGGAGTCCCCGGCGGCTCCCTGGAGGCTCTCAGGCACCTTGTTACTAGTAGCTTCTTGAAGACACAAACGTATGGAAGGGAGACATATCGACAAACAAGCTACGAACGGGGCTCCTGGCATCGCTACTAGGAGCAAGAAGCAGAATCCACCATGGTCAAACGTTCCACTCAAATCCACGAATTCCGCTGACCGGAATCGCCACACAGGACGTCTTCTCCAAGCGACGCCCGTCCCGAAGACGGGGGGCGACATCAATCAATTGGCTTGGGTGCCCAGTACAGAATGGATTCACCTGAACATCATCCCATTGGAACCATGTCTATAAGTGTCTTCAAAGCTCCCTGCAGCACAGCCATCTTTTGCGATTCCATGCAGAAACTCGTCCTTCTGCCGAGTTCCCAAAAGAAGGGGTCGAGTACTGCGCCCCCTGTCCAGCAGGCTGCCGAAGGTCAAAAGGTTAATTCAAAAGATTCAAATCGACACGCTCGTCTCCAGGTACTTGGGATTGAAGACCCAAAGTCCAAAGTCATTTGGAAAGGCGCGGTTCTTCGCTTCAGCATTGTAGTCATCACCTCGTTTGACTCGTTTGGTGCTTCCATATAATATGAAAACTATGATCCATGATGAGTCCTTGGAATTATTTGGAAAGAAGAGAATCTGATTGACACCACCGACTAAATACTGATGATTTACACCAGCCCAAAAACATGTAGATACTCAATTGGGATAACTATATAATATAATATACATAAATATATATACAGTAATTATTCACTACGCCCCCCAATAGAAAAACACATGAAACAGCTTGCTAGTCACACTCCTTGGAGAAGGTCTGGAGCTCTGATTGGAAGCGTTCGAAGATCGAGTTGAGCTTGGATCGATCCGCTTCAGATGCCCCCGGAAAAAGATGCGACCAATCATCCGTGGGTTCCCTTACCAGGAGCCTTGGCATGGGAGTACTGGTCAAGGCCATGATCAAGGCGACTCCCAAACCCACCTCTTTGGGGGCCACAAGAGCCCCTTCCCTTCGTAGGCTTTTGGGCCAAGAAAAGGAGCAAAACGAGGGATCTTGGGCATAGGCTTGCACATCACCCACCTGTTCATGGCCTGCAGTAGATAGCTCACAAAAGCGAGTGATGAAGTTCGTCATGATCCTGCGCTTTCGCGCGTCACTCAGATGAGGCCACAGCTCATTCACGCGGTGACCAGTCAGGGGGCTTGCAAGGGTTTGGACCAAGTTGATGGCCTGTAGAATGAAGAGCTTCAACTCTTGATCTGCTGCCATGGCCAAGTCCCCCTTCGCACCCGTGCCGTAGTAGTGGTCCAGGTAAGAAGACACGAATCCATGCAAGATCTTCCAGTACTGTAGAGCTTGTTTGTAGTAGGCCGTGAAAAGGCCTTCACTGCGCTTCTTTTCGATTTGTGCTTCTCGATCAAAAAGCGACTCCAGCATCTTGATGGGGTCACTCTCGTTGGTGATGTAGTCCGGCGGCAAGATCTGGAAAGCCGAAGCCCAGGCCAACTGCAACCCTTCATCGTCCAGCGCCACTGCGCGAGGCAACCAGGAGTCTCGGGTCACCAACGTTGTTCGAGCCAAGTCATTAATGTTGATACTGCCATAGGAGAAAGGCACCAAAAAACGCCGGACCGGATGGTCCACGGACAACTGCTCCCTCATGGCTTGCACCCCCACATTCGCCAGCTGCAAATGGGTTCCGTACAAATGGTCGACGAGCGTCACTAAGGTGAAGAGGGAGCATCGAAAGCAAAACTTCGCATACTCCCAGTCCCTGGATCCATCCGGAAGGAAGGTCGTGATCTTCTGGTCCTCCCAAACTTCTCCGTTCTCAAACCGCACAATCTTCACCACACGAAAATCCTTGTCGAAGTAGACATCATTACCTTGGCTGATCGGGGAACGTGGCATAGGGATCCTTGAAGGAAAGGAACATGTTTAAATGTAAATCATTATCTAGACCTTGTGATGTCCTTCTTTTCAAACAATAAAACATGATCCAAAACAGAAATCATCGCTGGGGACCAGGTGCCATATGTCTCATATCCCTCGCGCACCGGCAGTGTGGAGAGCTGATTGGTTCGCACCACATAGCTGCAGCCTGGGTGTGTGCTGTCGGCTCGTTCTAAACGATGAGCACCGAGGCCATGTAGGCACAAATGAGTCAAAGCACGGTCTGAGGTCTTGTCTGTCCACTCTTGGTTGATGCGCGGATAGATGTCTTGCACCACACCCATGACATATTCCACCGGATTCTCTCCCTCCTTGAAGAGGGACATGTCCTTAAGCTCCATCTGAGGCAGCGTGCTGAAGACGCTGGAGGTCACAAACTCCGTCGATGGGCTGCTACGCAGGAATCGTTCAAAGAGTCCACCAGCATAGAGCTCATCCTGCTGCAGGAAGGGCACTCGGATCGCAATGGCATATTGCAAGAGCCCGGTCTCTAAGGGTCCCTTGGGCGCCAATTGATCCACTCTCCACTCCGCGGGTTTGGGGAACTGGTAGAAGGCGAGCCGGAGCAGCTGAGTGAGTTTCGCAATCTTCCAAGCCAATTCGGGTGGTGGGTTCAGGAAGAGGAGGTAGATCATGGCATAGCTGATGGGCAGCCCCAGCAAGAGCAGGAGCACCAGCACTAAGGCCACGACAATGGGATAGAAACCCAACAACAATGCGAAGAGCAGCACTGCCAAGATGGAATAGCAACAAATGCGACACCCTCCACAGCCGAAGGCTGCAGGGATGCGCAAGCAGGTCTGGCAACATCCCAAGGAGTAGAAGGAGGGTTCGGGTGGCTGCACCACTGGCCAGCTGGGAGCGTACAAGCTCTCGCCAATGAGGGGCGACTGCTCCATGGCTAGAAGCAGGTGGAGAAAGGTTCAGACCTTTTTTCCAAGCTCTTTCTAGATGTGTCACATTCTTACATGTGAGTCATGCAGTTTCGGTGGGTCTGGAAGCAGCGTTGTGCGCCTTAATTAAGCTGTGGCTTGGTTTCTTTCCGTCAAGTATGACACTGCTGTCCTGGAATGATGAAGAAGAAAACGTAGAAACATGTACAGTAAATTGCTGCAAACTGGTTTTGGGCCACGTGTGAGCAGCAACTGAGTCAAGAACGGCGCAACACCAGCATGGCAGCTGATCCGATGTCCATCACTGATCTCACAATACAACTTGGAGATTCTATGAGGTTCTCAAGCTCACCCAAATGCTTGCAGCCGGTTTTTGAAAAAGCGCCGATTACGGCGATCTGTGTGTGTCAACCCCTGGGCCAAGGGTTCCCCTCCACCACCGCTTTCACCACGGTTTCACATGCAGGGGGCATGGCAGCTGCTTCCCTAGCCATGCCAACGAAGCTATGGGATTCAGCCGGAAGGGAATGTGGACGCACATTCCTGTACCTGCAACGAGAACTGTTTTCAAGCTGTCACGCCACTTTCCACGCCTTGGTTCATTGTCCTTCATGCTACTTCCCCAAAACAAGTTTCCTTCAGCCACTTGCAGCCGCCGAGGGTTTTGCAGCACGCCACCGCAGTCACGTGACAAACTCTTTTGTTAAAACATCTACACATTTGCGGACTCTCCACCTTGCCGTTGAGCCATTCCTTTTCTCGGGAAATTGAGTTAACTGAAAACCAATGTCAGAGTGTGTGCGCGTCATCCAGTGGTTGCGACCGGCGATCGGAAAAACACTGCCTCCAGTCTTTGGACGATGGAGCTTTCACCATCGCTTCGATTGAAATGGTCTTTGCGGCACTTGCCGCAATCATATGAATGAAGTCTTCGCAAGCACCTATCAAGTGATTTAGACTACTGTACACCTCAAGCGGTCGAATGTCCTCCGGTCCCACGCTGGCCACGCGAGTCATGGACTTCTAAATGAACCTCTAAGAACCTGTAAGAACAAAACACGAAACCTGCCTCCTGAAGTAGATGCACTGGTCCGTGTACTACCTGTTTTCTTTCTTTTTGCCCACTCACTATATCTCAAGGGCGAAAACAACAAATAACTGGATATCACTGGATAATGCCCAGGTGTCAGTTGTCATGCTTCCGATCCTTTTCATCATCTTGCCAACCTCTCTATTTTGAGCCGGACAGCGACCATCGAGACCACCGGATCCACCGGATCGAGACGACCGGCACCGGGACGTGCCGCCCCGTTCGTAGCGTCGATCTGGAAAACCTGTCCCTCTACATTCGCAAAAGGATGACTCTTCGCAGCAAGGTGTGGTGGTGGATTCTGATAGATGGGCGCCGGTCTGCACACTTGGCCAGCACTGGGCAGCTCTTTTTTGATGTGACAGGCTTTTGAGAGGGATGCCCAAAAACCGATTGGGATCACAGGGCTTTCTCCCTCACTGCGCCTGCGTTACCGATCCCTTGTCCAGCTTCAATGCGATGGTCGAAACGGTACCAGAACCGCACCAAGTCCTGCGTCCTGCATCGGCTCGTTCCGCTACGGTTGGGTTCACCGATTTCGCCAACGAAGCCGTCACCGTGCCGCCCATGAGCAAGCAGCTTCCTTTTGGCCAGCTGAGCCTCAGAAAGAGTGCCACACTGCCTGGCTCAGCTCAGCCATAAAAGTGCCTTCCGGGAGGATAGGTTCAGTACGCTAGGTGTTCCTGTCCGGGAAAATGCAAACCAAACGAGAAAGGAACCAAGAATGGGTTTTGAGGTGACGCGAACGCGATGAACAGGTGTGCAAAAGTGGGCCGTGGGTCAAATAAATACGTGATACTCCAGTGTTTCATCTTCACGGTCCCCATGGCTGAAAAGATCTATGGTTCCCAATGCCTAACAAAAGGATAGAGATGAAGCACCAAACAAGCCTTGTTGGAGCCCATCGGCACGGCCGAGCTGGCGATTTTCCGACTCCCTTTCAAGGAGTCTCGAGATCCGTGGGCCTCGTTCTCCCACGGTCAACGCGGTCGTCTCATGGATTATGGATCAACGGTCGCAGTGTTGTGCAAAAGGATCGGGATGAAACTAACATCGACAACTATCTTTGCGGGAGTGGGGAAGTGTCTACAGGAGCCAAATCATTGCCATGTGCTGGGCTAAAACAAATCAGTTTGGATGTGCATTATCCAAAGAATGGCTAAAATAAAGGTAGTAACGTATAAATGGCCAATGGGTAAAATACGAGTACATTGGTTTTGACTTGTGAAGATGGCAGTTACAAACGTCGCGGAAGTTGCATCCTTTAAGGTGCAAAAGCTCAACGTACGATTCGTTGAAAACGACTGCGCCAAGTCGTTCAGAGGATGCGAAGGTCAGCGCAGGTGACCCCAGAAAGCAGAGCTGAATACGGATACGTAGTGTGAGCATGTTGATGAACTAGATCCAACACCAGCTGAGATACGGAGTTCTAGTCGGGAAAAAAGACCTCGAAGTTCAGTTTGCGCCTTTTCCAGAATCTCTATAGATTCTAGCTGCTGCAGGCCTGTGAATTGACTTCAAAGAATTCACCAACCTTGAAAAACTGCAGACTCCCCAAAAGTCTTGGTCAGACTCTGAAGAAACTCGGCTCGGTCAACCCGTTTGACCAGCTCCCCAAACCCTTTTCTTCCCGTCCCAGGAAGAAGCACCGGATGTCGGGTCGTGGGATCCTTGGAACCCACGACCTGTCACGTGATGCATGATACCTGGATACCCACGGATGATGGTGGGTTGCATGCGGCATCCCTTCCTCCAAATCCGTTTCAACGGAATTCCAAGAGTTACGGACGGAAACGCCGTCTTGGGAGTCACAGGAACGCCCACGGATGATGGTGCTTCAAAACACTCCCGACTTATAGCTTCGAACCGGCGTCTGGAAAAAGGATGATTTACATCTGTTCATCTTTCGTCTCTAAAAAGTCTCAGGGTGACTCTGACACTCTGACCCTGTGGACATTGATGAAAAAATACATGCTCAGACCGAATGGAGATGTTTTTTGTTTGTTTTGATGGAGATATTGTTGGCATAGAAACAGCTCCATGCAAAAACAACCAAAATCACGTGGCAATTGGAGTCCACGGATGCTCCAGCCCCTTCTCGGCCGGCGCTGGGGCCCGTCCATTTCGGCTCTGCAAAAAGGTGTTCGGGTCACCCGGTGGATACCCAGAGAAAACGGTCCTTGGGAAATCAGAAAAGCCTCCTGCTGAAGAAATGCTGAACAAAATGCCGCAAAGCCTCTAAACCAAAACCATCGGGCATAGTGGCTGTGTTCACCAAATGGGATTGGTGGCATGTTTTCGTGCCTGATTCGACTCAAATCGCTGTAGAAACAGCTGCCATTGGGGATCCCTCTTGACCTGAATCTCTTGACACTAGCAGGAGGGAGGGTCACATCTTCTGCCTTCTAGGTGATGCCAGTCAGTCTAATACCGGGTGTTTCATGGATGTGCCCAACACTCCTCCAACCAAACGTTGGCCACAAAACCTTGAATCTTGAGATAAAAAGTAAAATCCACTCCTTTTCGCGGGTCATGTTCACGCCATGTTCGCTCCTTTTGGAATTGTGAAATCACACGCCCCGGTAGATTGAGGGACCACAGGCACCGCGGTCTCCCCGCGGCGGAGCGGAGGGGGGAACGGAAGTGCAGCGCTACTAGTAGCTTCTTGATACTAGAGTAGTAATGCCCTTGTTACTAGTAGCAATCCACTTGTTACTAATGATCCGATGTTTAATGAAACATGGACCAACTAGATGGGAAAATGGACCAACGCCTGTGTGTCACAGACTGTACTAGACTATAGGATCTACAGGGTCCTAATGTGTCACTGACCAACAGCAGCGATGGGCAAACAATACGCCTGTGGGGAGAAGCTTCCTGATGCAGGGAGAGCATGGATTTCCACGGAAGACCAAGATCTCAGGTACAATGTGCACTGGTCACCACAATGGATGAAATATGGAAAGTTAAACGAATTCACATGGCCAATTGGGTCATGGCACTCGCTGTAGTTGACATTCCGAAAAATAAACAGATTTTCAGTCTTCATTCAGATCTATACTATGATTCTTTTGGGTTTTAGTTTTGACCCACTGCCACAGGGATTCTAAGCCAGAAACTGGAACATCAAGTCAGAAATGAATACAGTAGTTGGCTGACTTTGGTTTTAGCACTGATCAGTTTCTGGCAATCCTCATACTGCAACGCTGCTGCCGACGCTGGCCCCCATGATGTTGTCTCAACTGCCAATGAGCGGAGGAACAAACAACAAGAGCGACTGAATGAGATCAGAAAATTCAAGATCCTGAAGATTTTTCATGAGCAAAACCTTAGCAAAAGAACAAGACACATAAACGGCAAAACCAATGAACATCAATGAAATGTAGTTTTTTGGATTTGGCAACATCAAGTGCCTCCGAGGACTGATATTTTGTTGATTTAGTGCTTTGTTGGATCATGTTGGATCCACTGGGAAAGAGACAAGACCCAACGAGGAAGAACCGACAAAAATGAAATCTGATGGATGTTCCACGAATCTCAGCAGTGTGCTTGAAGGTTTTCAAGTGGCGCATGATGTACCATGAAAACAGGACCACTTGATCATTAAAATTTCATACGTGTCCAGACATTTGGTTCATCGACCTTGGTTCTGGTTGATGTCAAAACATGTCAAAACTATATCCACTGGAAACATCTAAGCCACAAGTCTTTGTCAATGATTCCGCAACAGTTCCTTTTTTCTGTATCAAAGTCCAGACACATGAGGCTGTTGACTCAATTGAATCATGTAGGCTACCATTTTGTCAAGACCACATGGGACCACTCCACGCTGCCGAGCTCGAGAGCTCATCCCGTGCGGGGCCGTATGCGCATGGCCTCAGCGGGCGCGGGTCCCGAAAAAAGAGGACCTGGATGGAAGGAAAGCCGCGAGCTGGTCTCTCTGTCTCATTGTGTCCCTCAC